GCCAATGATGAGATCCTTCCATGTTATGTCTTGCATTGAGATTTTTAACTTTAATGGTTGTGTTTACAAGGATCTGGATTCATTATTGTCATTAATCTTTTTAATTTATAAAATAATTTTGCTCTCAAAATAAATGCATATTGCATAAATGTTGTGATTGTTCTAATGAAGTTATGCCATGCGTAATTTATTTTCCAGTTATTCCATATTATGGCCGATACACAATGTTCAAAAAGGTGATGAATGCACTCGTGATTTTCTCTTTGGTATTGGAGAGGATAAACAGCGTTCTGCTAGACTTACAGCGTGGTTTCACACACCAGAGAATTATTTTATCCAAGTACTGTTTCTTGTTACAATTATCAATTCTATTTCCATCTAATCTGTTGGCCTTTTCTCAACTAGCTATATTCATTCTCTCAGGAGTATCAGAAGCATTGTTCTAAATTGCATTCCAAGAAATTACCTTTACTTACTATGAAGTCTTCTGCAACAAGTAGACTGCATCGAGATGATGGGAGTGCTTTACGTGTTTACACTGATATACCTCATGTGGAAGAGTTTTTGACACGGCCTGAATTTGTGATAAGTATGTTGATTGGTGAAGGAAAAAAGTGTTTATTATCCAATTTCTCTTTTTCCTTTTTTATCTTAATATATGCACATCCATTGTGTTTTAATTAGCAAATTTTGTTTAATAATGAGAACAATCTTGCTTAAAGGTTTCGTTGTTGTTGTTGTTGTTGTTGTTATTATTATTACCATTATCATCTGATATCTAAATTCTTTCTAAATGATTCCAGCAACTGAGCCTAAGGATGCAGATATTATATGGACTAGCATGCAGATAGATGGAGAGATGAAAAAAGCTGCTGGAATTACAGATCAGCAATACCTAAATCAATTTCCCTTTGAGGCATGTCTTGTCATGAAACATCATTTGGCGGAAACCATACAGAAGGTTACAATAGCTTAATTTTCATATCAATTATATAGCATGGACCCTATTTTATGATCTGAATTTTCTGCACTGCCATCGATTGTGAAATTAAACTACACACTTCTATTTTGAACAGCAGTTGCATACCTGCCTTGTAAAAATAATGCTTTTCTGTGCCCTTGTTGTGATAGGTTAACTTACTTAAATGCGTTCTTTGAACAGGCACAGGGATCTCCTGAATGGCTGCAGCCTACATATAATCTTGAAACTCATCTTTCTCAGCTTATTGGTGACTATTATGCACGCAGAAGAGATGAACTTAACAATCTATGGATCTTGAAACCTTGGAATATGGCACGGACTATTGATACAACTGTAACTGATAATTTATCTGCTATCATCCGTCTCATGGAAACTGGTCCAAAAATATGCCAGAAGTATATTGAGCATCCTGCTCTGTTCAAAGGAAAAAAGTTTGATCTCCGCTACATTGTATTTGTCCGAAGTATGAATCCTTTGGAGATTTTCCTTTCAGATGTTTTCTGGGTATGTACTTTTTTTCTACCATCTCAATTTTGCTGACATGCCAGTTCAATCTGAATGTGATTTCCATTTAATATTTTGTCAGAACAGAGGAAGAACTTTGTTATGGCTTTCTGTTTTAGATATTCTCAAATCTCAATTAACAAAATGCACTATGCAATTAGATTTTTCCTTTACTGTTTTCAGGTTAGATTGTCAAACAACCCATATACGCTTGAGAAGCACAGTTTTTTCGAGTATGAGACCCACTTTACTGTTATGGTAAGTTAAAGCACCTTTATTTTTTATTTTTTACTTTTTTCCTTGCTTAGCCATGACAATAAAGTTAATGCACTTTATCCATGGATGAAATCCTGATGAGCATCCGCTTAATATTTATGAACAAGCACTTCTTTTGTTAGGAGCTATTTCTATCTATTTCGATCCATGTATAAGCATTTAGTTATTCTGTTACTCTTGTGGTTTTCAGAACTACGGCCGGAGAATGAATCACATGAACACAACTGAGTTTGTTATGGAGTTTGAACAAGAGCATCAAGGTATTTGTGCTTCCTAACTTGTACCTTTTCTTTGATCTGCTTGCCTCCCCCCAAACCACAGCGTTCTCAAATGGAATAATGCAATTTCTGTGTTTGTTGCAGTTAAATGGTTAGACATCCATCAAAGAGTAAGAAGCATGATCCGATCTGTCTTTGAGTCAGCTGCAGCAGTACATCCAGAGATGCATGATCTGAAATCTCGGGCCATCTATGGTGTGGATGTAATGCTTGATAATTCTTTCCAGCCAAAACTTTTGGAGGTTTGTACTGATATCCCCTTGGTTCCATGCCTTTTATTTTAAAAAGAAAAGGAGAATTCAAAATTTTATTTGAGCCTAAACCTTCCTCATCAGCTAACTGGCAATTGCCTTTTAGGTTTAAGAAAATGACATGTTTTATTAACTGTTATGTGCAGGTTACCTACTGTCCTGACTGTACAAGAGCATGCAAGTATGATACAGCATCTATAATGGGAGGTGGAGAAGCGATCAGGAGTCGTGACTTCTTCAATGACGTGTTTGGTTGTCTCTTTCTGAACGAAACCACTCATGTAAGCCAGTTATAATTTAGCTTGGGCAGAATTTTGTGTCTCTGTTGTGTACAATTTTGAAACAATTAAGTTGCTAATCTGATGGCATGATACCATACTTTCAAGACGTGGAAGTAGTCCTGTTCATTTCAACCCTCTGGTAATGGATACAGGGAAGTTTTAATTGAAAGTTTGTCATAACCCAGAATTACATTATACATTGGAAACAGTGGGTTTCCCAACCCACTCTTTCTGATATGTAATCATGTGACCGTCTAGTATTATTAACAATTCAAATCAAAACTCACATTTTTATGGCAGTGGGATGAGCTCCCTTCCCTAGTTCCCTGGTTCTGCACATATATTTTACGGCCTCAGAGGGTTAAAACGTAAAAGAATGAGTGACACAAGCACTGAATCACCTAGTCAGCAGGCGATGCAACTAACAGTGGAAAGAATGGTGGAGAGAAAACAAAGTAAAACTTGAGAAAACCCATTTTATGCACAAGTCAAACTTAACCTTAGCTTCTAAATTCTTCGCCACTAAACCTGAGACCTTATTGGCTCAAACCGGTCTAGGTTGTTAGAAGTGCAAATCAAAAGGTATGCTTATCGTAAACGTAATGTGTACTTGCTTATGGAGAAGTAGACGGAAGTTAATAGACTAAATACTAATGCTCGCAGGCGCAGCCGTGCAAAACATTCCATTAAGATACCAGAGAAACACACCCCAAAAGTAGGATGCATCATTTATTGAGCAAATAGAAGCAGCAATACGTCGGTTCCTACTGTACTGGGGTGTGGTTATAAGCAACAATAATCTGAAATTTACATCATAATTTTTGGCTGCATTCAATGCATTTAAATTTTAGAGGGATATGCCTTTGACAGTATCATACACGAAGCCAAAGGCATATGCTAGACTGTGACCCTCCACCTTTTGGGATTGATAAATAAGACCATTTCTACAAACGATACCAATCAATGATCGGATGCAGCAAATTCTTCAGAATCGGATCAGGCAACAACAGGGTATGATGCACATGTTGCAATTCCTGCAACCAAATCATAAACATCAGTATAAAGAACTAAGTGCTGGATTTACACAGTTCTAGTTCTAGGTCTCAGCTGTTCATTCTTAGCTTTTATCACAATTTCAAGAAGAGATTATCTTTAAGTATTAAATGCCAGGCATGAACCAATTTCGAGTTTGGCCTAAAAAAACCACCAATTTTGGGTTAGTATTTTTGTATAGAGAGCAGATGAAGTATGTTGGGAGACTTACCACACATGTTTTTCCCCATCTCCATCTTGAAGTAGCCATTATCCCCCCAGGTTTCTCCCCATGAGTTCTTAATGAGCCAATATGGGACACCATTTTCAACTCCATACCCAACAGCAAGAACAGCATGGTTCACATCCTGCAACACATATAGAATATCCAATGCATTAGCGCATTGTATAGTATGAGGGCATGAAATGAGATGAATTATTAACACTTCGGACTTGTATACAAACTAAACATATTTGTTCTGCTTTTAAAAACATCTTGATTTGATGAACTCAAATTATCAACAGATCCACCTTATTCCTGTCTAAAAGACTAAAACTGCTATAATCTGAAGAACTGGGGGGGACTCACCATAGGATCGCTGCCACATGTATCACTGGTGTAAACTCCACTCTTATAAAATCGGAAACCATTCACAACTTCAAATGCCACACTAACTGGTCGAACGACGGCAACTGCGTGCTTTAATTCATCTTCAGCACCCTGCATTTTGCTAATAGAGATTAGGACATACAACGAGATAACATGAATTTTACATTTACTTAAACAATACTTCTCTCTAAAATCAAACGAATCCCAGCATTCAGCTTGGGTTCGGAAAAAATGGGCAATTAATGCTCTATGAAAAAGGAACAGTATTATATTAGATCAATGTAAGAATACGCAACAGTACTGTTTTGAATTGAATAGAAATAAACGAGGAAAATGTTTGCATATAGCCAAGCATATTCTCAGTTTGCAAAAACTTCCCTTTTGCCTCCAGCACATTGAATAATCATCTTTACATGGTCAGAGAAAATACTAAGGCAAATCATTCATGAACTTACCAGTGTGATATTCACAGAATCAACCACCTGGACACCAACATTTTCTGATGAGAATTTGCATTCACCATCTTTTCCAGTGTAAGGGTATGCCTCCTCGGTTTCAAGACCTCCATTATATTTGATATATTCAAAGGCTTGGGATGGCAAACCACCGTTACATCCAAAGTTATTAAAGGCCCCAGCACAGTCTACAAGCTGCTGCTCAGATAAAGAGATCCCCTTTCCAAATGCCTGATGATAAGCTGCCTCCAGAGCCCCAGTGGTGCTGAAATATGCAAATTTAGAAGGTTAAAAGCTTACAATTTGAAAGCACAATTATTCCCATACCATAGCTCTAATCATGACTGAGCTAACCTGAATGTCCAGCATGATCCACAATGCCCTTGATCTTTGACTGGGCTGACTATTCCCATTTCTCTCCAATCTTTCTGTAGATAGAACAACAGATAATTTTCTGAGCCTAATCTTTAGAATAGCACATTTCCGCTATACAGACACCAATACACAATGACCACATGAGAAAAATATGTCTAATTTCCACATACTGTCACAAGCTTTAGACAATTCTTTAGACATCATTGCAGATTAAACGAGTACTGATTTAGATACTATAAACGGAGTACAGTTTTATAAAAAATTTGCAAGTACCATCTCAGGAAGGGCTTCATGGGTAAGCTTGTGATTGCCCTTCATCGTGGCAGAGCAATTTTGAGCAGCTCCTAATCTGTGCCTCTGAAACTCCTCCCAGGTCCAATCAGTAAAGTCTAAACCAAGATACACAAATTAAAAAAAAAAAAAAATTTTTGATTCAGCGCATAATAAATTAAGATCATCAATCCATAATTTCAGTCCAACAAGCACCGCAGTCAACTAACATTCAGTATCGAAAGACAGTTCGGTGAAAGAACTCAGAAGAACCAGGATGACTACTGACAACAGTATCAGCCTAAATAAGCTTAAAAACGGGAAAAAAAAAAGAAAAAAGAAGAAGAATCCATTGAAGAAAAACAGCATTAGCACGTACGATTAACAGCAAGAGTGTAAGGCAAGCCCTTCTTGTTCGTGGATCTGATCAAATCCAAATTCTCCTTGAAAATCTGAAATCGGAGCTTCATCTCCTCCACGCTCTCATACCTCTTCCCGTACCTAACCACAAACAGAAACGAATTCAATCAAATTTCATTTCCAATTAACATCATCTTCTTTCTTTCTCCGGGAAAAAAAAAAAGTGTAAAAGCTGCCATTATGAATCATCTTTTGGTGATGCGATAGCGAGATATGGAGAATCAAAGGTTACCTATGAGTAAAACGGGCAAAGGAGAGAGCATGGCGGGTGTGGCCAATGACTTGGAGGACAGAGGACTCAAAGTCACGGAGGCCATCGGAGACCAATCTGATCGGATTGGAGTCATCGAAGACTGATCCAGCGGCGGCGCAGCAGAAGAGCAGGACGACGACGGAGGAAGCCAACGGAAAACGAGCCATAGTTGTGTGGGTATTCACTCCGCCGAGATGAAAGCAAGTTGTCCGTCTTCGGCCAATCAATAAATAAAACGGAGATTCGGTTTTGTTTCGGTTCCCGAAAATGGTCAAGACAAGATACGAAGCAACAACAATTGGACGGACGTCGCTATCTGGGTGAGAAGCGTTATTGCGACATCTAAAATTGTTATTGCCACTGTTTTTTTATTTATTTGACAATTATACCCTTAATTAAAATTCTTTTTTCCATTTTATGGGCATTCACTCTGAAGCAGAAACAGTCTTTTTCCCTGAAGGTGATGCAACCATGAACCGTATATTCACATCCCAAATACACAATAAAATCACCAAAATTTTCAACCTTTCATGATGGGTCCGCGAGGAAATGGAAAAAACAGCTGAAGCTATTAGGTGTAAGCACTTTTCAAAGGTGAAATCAACACATACACAAGAAAATTACACCCATCAACAAAACCACAACCCCAAAACTGGGTTAAATGGGCTT